AATATAAAGAAATGTATAACAATATTATTTTCCATCTAATTTGACAAGGAACAAAAAAATACATGTTAATGTGAAAGTTTTCATTTTATTATTCAAAATACTTATTTTTTTTTGTTATTATGACCATTTATTTCATTTTCTCTCTACATTATTTTTTTTAATTTGTTTAATAATTTTCTTTTAATTTTTTTTTCTCAATTCATTTCTATTATTTTCGAGTGTGACCAGTTAGAGCCAAAGGCTAAAATTTTTTTCTCAAATTTTTGTATTTTGTTAGTTTTCTAGATAAACATTCAACTTAGAACTTTTCTTATATGAAGCAAATAGAACCAAAAGCATCCGATTAAGAATTTTTCTATTTTACAAATGTTAATTTGTCATAAGACTAAAAACATATGCAGTCTAGTGGGAATCTTGGACACATAGTTATATGGTAGGTCACTATATATTTTCATGTCGTGGAGTGGCTCCTTCAAAACTTACTTTTAAAGCATGGTAATTTTTGTGCAGTAAATTTTAAATTACCATGCTTTTGAATTTTTGTAATAAATTTTAAAGCAATTTCTTAAAAGAAATTTGGCATCAATGACAATTTTTTTTTATGATTAACTAACTATTTAATTCCCTAAAATTGAATGGCTACAATCTCTCCACCTAAGCTAATTTTAGTTAGATTATTAATTAGTAACCTAATTTGATTACTAAGCAAATTGATCTTTTCTTAAATACCAATGTCTTTTTTGGTATAAGAAATCAATGGTAGTTTATGAAACTGCTTTAAATTTATACACTAAAAGTCAAAGTCAAAAAATTTCAAGGATTATGTTTATCTTCTTAACTTATGTGAACCTAATAATAAGTAATTATGCAAGGTAAGTTATTAGATAGAGAATGTACATTAATTGAAATCTTATATAAGCTTCATAGTTGATGAACTACTAAAGACAAAAACTGAGAAGGACGGAAGTGATAAGTATGAATCATCTCTTTGCTTTCTCCATTGTTATTGCTTTGTGTATCGGATCTAACAACTCTAGCAAGTTGTTTCCAAAAAACGTACTATATTTTAGAAACTCTTTTAGCCGGGACGATGATATTCTCAAAGTCCATTGTATATCTGATAAAGATGATCTTGGGTTTCATTATGTCCGCCGGACATTTTTGTATAGTATTAAGTTTGGAGATAGGTTTTTCGGAGGAACACGTTTCGAATGCGAACTACGTCATGCATTTAACTTTACATATCATAGAACATTTATGGCATATAAAGAATCTTCTTTTTATCTTAAATATGGTACATCATTTTTATGGGATGCTAAAGATGAAGGAATTTATTTCAAAGATAGTACTCACGCATCAGTGTTCAAGTATAGTTGGTTATAAACTCTTTGTCTTGTAGCCATATTGTATTTTTATTTGTCTTGATGTCAATAGATTTCAAGATTTATAAATCATATGAATAAGATTAAAACTTTATTTACATTTGCAATTCGAAACTACAATTAAGAGAATGCAAAAACATATAGTTATTATAGA